GCATCTGCTGCATAAAACATATGCTGGATAAGTTAACGGTTCATTCCGCTGTGGCGACCCCGGATAAATAAAGGGACAAAGTCGAAAAGAAAATGAATGAATAATGATGAGATAATGCATGTGCTAATCATCAATTCACTTTAACTACAACATGAGTCACGAGAGTTCATGTGTGATTAACGGCTACCTTAATTGCTTAATTACTTTTTGATGTTACCAAAAATGTAAATATCTATATAAAAAATGTTTCGTATACTTTATTATGTATATGTGATACACACATACAAACCAAACACATAATACACACACCTTCATTCATTCACTCATTTTCTTGTCGGCTTAGTCCCTTTATTAATCTGGGGTCACCACAGCGGAATGAACCGCCAACTTATCCAGCAAGTTTTTACGCAGCAGATGCCCTTCCAGCCGCAACCCATTTCTGGGAAACATCCATACACACATTCACACACACACTCATACACTACGGACAATTTTGCCAACCCAATTTACCTGTACCGCATGTCTTTGGACTGTGGGGTAAACCGGAGCACCCGGAGGAAACCCTAGCGAACGCAGGGAGAACATGCAAACTCCACACAGAAACACCAACTGAGCTGAGGCTCGAACCAGCGACCTTCTTGCTGTGAGGCAACAGCACTACCTGGTGCGCCACTGCTTCGCCATACACACACATGTATTATGTCAAAACAAGCTTTTATTTTGGATGCGATTAATCAAGATTAATCTTTGCTCAGATGAAATGTTATTTCAACCATGAAAGTTGACATTTGTATTTGTCATTTTCATTTCATGCTTACACAAATTGGGACATCACATCTTCGACTTTGACATAGAGTTTAAATACACTTTGCCATACAAATTTTCCTTGTTTTTGTACTATATTCAATACTCTATGCCATTTCTCTCCAGTCTCTGCAACATGGCAAACAGCACATCAAATGAAACCCAAGCCGCCACAATCTACAGTAACATCAGCAGCCAAACAACAAATATTCAGTTGTCACTACAAAGCATTGCGGATGACTGCAATCAAGAAGCTTTTTCCTGTGTTCGCCTGCCACTGGAAATCTCCACCATTGTGATGGGCCTGCCAACCAATGTGGCTCTGCTGTGGCTGCTGATGAGGGGTGAAAAAGCTCTCTCCCCTTTTGACGTTTTGGGGCTCAATCTAGCCATCTTAAACATAATCTACTGTCTTGGTCTTCCTCTTGACGTGTACATCACCCTGACCAAAAGCCCCGGAGAGCTTCTGCCTGCTTCAGAGTCTCTGTACATCCTTAACACGATCGGCTGTCCTCTTCTGTTAACCAGCATGTGCGTGGAGCGATATATGGCCACGGCACATGCAGTCTTCTACATGAAATACGGGAGCAAAAGGGAATATCGTGCTGTTTGCTCGGCTCTAGTCTGGATCATCACTTTAGGTGTGGCGGTGATTACTTATCTAGAAAGGCTCCCTGAATTAGCCCTGATCTTGTCAATCATCCTTGAAATCTTTTTACTCGTAATGGCGGCGTGTTTAATAGGCATTGTCCGTGCACTCCGCAAAAAGGGCCCAGGGGAAGGGCAAAAAAGTGGGTCATGGGTAAAAAAACGAGCCTTAAAGAACACCTTAACTATGCTAGTCCTGACCGCTGTGATCTACGGCCCTGTCCTGGGCTTATTTCCGTATATCCTCACAGTTTCAAAAAATCATAAAGAAGCTACTTACGAGCTCTGCTTGATCTTGAATATATTCCACACAATTCCCAGTCTTGGGGTCTGTATCGGGCCTGTGTTTTATGTGTCCCGTGCGAAAGAACTAGCCTGTTGGAAGAAAAAAGCTGAACATGAGCAAACAACCACCACTCAAGAAACACAGCATCACAAGTGATATATGTGCTGATATATGACATTAGTACATTCAGTAAGTAAATTCAGCTGAATATGTTGTCAGAGCAGTAATCATTGTTACTTATAACTATAGTGATAAGGTAGATTTTTTTGTAGTCCTACTTTTGGTTTGGCAAACAAAACTTAAGAAATGCTATGTATGCTCAATTAGTGTGCTTTATTTATTTAAGTGTGAGTCTTTTACAAGTTGTTTATTGGATATTATAAGAGAGTGTTACGTCACAGGACACATTTGTTTTTTCTTTCTTTCTCTCTCTGCTCTACTCTAGTAGCCTTCTATCAATGACGAACTGCTCACTAATTGGAGGATGAGAAGAGCAGTGGGCATTTAAGCAGCATGTCTCCACTAGAACAATGTGTTTTGTGTGTGTGTGGAGGCTCTTTTGTGAGATTTTAGATATTTTTTTATCCTTTAAGCATTATGTGTTGATTTAGGAGCTTTAATTAGTTTAAGGTTTGTTAATGCTGTTGTCAATCTTATATCGTTTTTGCCTCAGAAACTATTTTTGGTGTGAGTTTGTGTTTGATTTTTCAATACTACTTTGTTATTGACTCTTTACTTTGTTTAGTTAATTTGGGCTTGGGTGAGTACTCGAGATGTGATGCCATTTTCTGTTTTGTAATAGTTTTTTCTCCTGTTTATGTTAGTAAGGGAGTGAAGATATTTTCATCTATTTTTCTTTTCTTTGATAGATTGTTTAGTTCTTCATTTTCTAACAGTTAGAGGACTTTTTGTTTGTTGCTTTGGCTTAAACTCCTTCTTGAAGCTTTCTTGAAGCCCTCCCTTAATCATTGAATAAATCTTTTGTTAATCTTTATTCACGTTGCATTTTTTCTTTCGTTTAATCCTTCGGGAGGTTGCTCATGGGACCTTATTGCTGACACACACACACAAACTCCACTAACATTCTGAATTAAGGGATTGTAACAGAGAGGCATACAATAAAAGTGACAATCTGGACCCACAAATCCAGACTGTTACATGGGTATATTTGTAGGAATAGCCAACAATAAATAGCATTGTTCAAATTATGAATTTATCTTTTATGTCTAAAATAATTCGTTTATTACGTAAAAATCATGTACCATGAAAAGATTTAATAAACTTCCATTTGTACATATATCAAGGCCTGATTTTTGATTAATAGACCTCAATTTGGACAAATGAAATAGCAATATATGGAATTTTTTAACCCTCAGATTCCAGAAATAACTAAACAAATACTGTCCTATCCTAAAAAAAAACAATACAGCGTATTTATTCAGCTTTGAGAATAAAATTTAGTTCATTTGGCTTAGTTCCTTATTTATCAGGGGTCAGCACAGCAGAATAAACAACCAACTACTCCAGTATGTTTAGCACAGCAGATGCCCTTCTAGTCGCAACTCAGTACTAAACACTTATACTGATAACTTTTGTCGTATAAATAACAATTTTTAAAAATGCACTCTTATGACTGGTTTCAATCACACGGATGTTTGTTTTTGTGAATTATGGGGACATTACATTGGTTTCCATTGTTTTTATACTGTTCAAACTGTATTTTTCATAGTCCTAACCCCACCCTACCCCTAACTCAACCCTCATGAGAAATTGTGTGCAATTTTACTTTCTGAAAAGAAAAAAAAAAACACATTCTGTGTGATTTATAAGCTTTTTAGAGAAATGAGGACATCAGCAATGTCCTCATAATTCACCATATTCTTACCTATGTCCTACCTATGTAATTATACAAATTTATGTCCTGATGTCACAAAAACATGTACACACATTAAAATATAAACAAAAACGTACTCCTCAGTCTGTGGCTCATCAGTGTTTGGTAGTTCTCCGTGTAGTACTTTTGAGTCCGGATTAGTTACACAAATAAACTAATTTTCTACATCTAACTTACCTACAATAAACAAGTTCATATAAATAGATAGCCTACAAGCTAAGAAAGTTTAATCAAAACAAAGAAAATAACATTGAAACTGTAAATAAAACATGGACATGTGCAAATAATAATGATAATTTAAAGCTTTCTTCTTTCAAAATTATTGTTTTTATGTATTGTTGAATTTCTTATCGTAAGGTGCTCTGTTTGCAACAAACTTTTCAAACACAGCCTAACGTTGGATATGATGTCATTTCTAATAACATTAACTGAAGGGAATCAGACCAAAAACAAGCTGAACGTAAAAACAACCTTTTTTTCTTTACTAATAGGTCAATAAAATGTTCACATTTTTTCCAGAATACTACTACATGTTTTGAAGAGGCATCAATGTAAATTCTGTTTCAGATCTGCAGTCCACAGAAAAGTTATGACTCACGAATAACAAACCAAAAAGGACATGTATTTTTTGTGCCTTGAATATATTGTGCAAAAGTATATGCAAATGTAAATGCTGTTTTAGAATCATTATATAAAAAGGCATACATTAGTCTTAAAATGACAATAATATCACTGATCGTGATAATTTCTATGACAATATGTCACACAACTAAATGACAATAAAAAACACACACATTAAAATACAAACAAAAACTTACTCAGAGTCTGTGTGCCTTCAGTGCCAGGTCCTAGCGTCTCTCTGCAATAAAAGCAAGGATTTTTGAGAGTGCGTATCATATATATATTTACATGTCGCTTACCCTGTTGTTGTCTATTGGAAGGAATGCGTCAATAGAGGGTCCGTATGTGATATCTAGTGTATATATCTATGGTGAGGATTAGCTAACTCAATTAGACTAATTAAATTTAAAAAAATCATACAAATACATAAAAGCTAAGAAATTTTACCAAAACAAAGAAAATAACATTGAAAGTGTAAAATAAAACTTTAAAAAATGTACAAATATTAATGCTATTTTAAAGCTTTCTTCATTCAAAGTTATTGTTTTTATGTATTGTTGAATTTGTATTTATGAAGTAAACTGTTAGCAACATTAAAACTACGAAACACATCTTGTAACAACTTAACATCTTAAAAATAGTCGCTGTACCGAGTATTATTAATGTTATTTATTAAATTACCCAATAAACTGTATTTTTACGCATATCACCACCCTAACTCTAAACACAACCGTCACATTACTGTAAAAAAATATTAATTATTGTAATAAAGTGTCTCAAACGAAAGCAACGGTCACGTGTGTGACGGTAAACCCCTCCCCCGATACGTCACTAGAAACCTACGTTCCTGGGTTTCAAAACTTTCCTGTACTCCATGTTCCCGGGTACGTTTTTGTTTTTATCATTAATGTTTTCTGTTAAGCTATGCTTCTGATCATATTTTGCCATTATAAAAACTGTATGCATATGCTTTGCGCTGAAATGTGTTTGCGGACACTATTGATTATGTTTGCGGCACTATTGATTAATGTCGGCGTGTATCAGCTGTAACGTTAGCTCCTACAGCTTGCTAGCTAATTCTGTAAAATTAAAAATCATTTAGAAATGACATGTGTTAGAAAGTGTACAAGTTTTGAGCTTTTACAGATAAGATGTGGCATTGCAGATAAAAAGTCAAATTCCGTAACTTTTGTTTATCTGAACAGAAGTCCGGTTTTCGCGATGGAAGATCCACACCTGATGAATAGCGATGAATATCTTTTACTTCAAACATACTGCCAGAGGAGGGAAAACACTGTCGTTCTAAAACTATGTGGAGCAACAGGTCAGACCACAAACTCTAATGTCATTCCTATGTTTTTGAGATGATTATGACATTGCACATTCGAGAAACATCTGCTAAAATAAATAAATACAGGTGACAAGTTTAGTGTTGTGGCTGAAAAACTGACCAGGATTGCCTGTGAACTACCTCTTGATGATGATGAAAACATCGAGAGTGATAATACTAGCCACGAACCAAGTAAGTCAGTGAAAAAATTTTTATATTGAACAAAGTTCTGTCCAGTCAGATTTCAATCGTGCTCTGTCATTTTTGTTACAGGTGATGATCCAGTTATAAACAAGCTTGTTGAATTACTGAAGAAAACAGGGGATGACCTAGACCAGAAGGTAATGGTCAGCAGTTTTGGTTTAGTGGACAGTTTTGGATTACCCACTGAATTAAATGCAGATATGCATATTTTGGTCTATTTTTGCATATTTTGGTCTATTTTGAAGGACACAAGCCAAGTATACACTCACTGGCCACTTTATTAGGTATAATCCAACTGCTCTTTAACGCAAATTTCTAATCAGCCAATCACATGGCAGTAACTCAATGAATTTAGGCATGTAGACATGGTCAAGACGATCTGCTGCAGTTCAAACTGAGCACCAGAATTGGGAAGAAATGTTATGTAAGGGTGCTTTCACACCTGTGAATCGATTCAGTTGTTCCGAAACAGAGATTAAAATTGTTACATTGTTGCTCTTTGCTCTTGGAGCGGTTCGCTTTCACACTGCAAAGTTTCTAATCGGATCAAAAGAGCTAAAACAAGTCACGTGCGAGTAAACTCTTCTTACATTGGTCAGAGTGTCAGGGTTTATTTTGCAGCGTCCCGCTCAGCTGTCAGGAGAGGTGGTGGTTTGGTGGTGATTGACAGGGTGCGCGCGCGTGAAGTGTCTGAGGAGAGACACGGTGGGGAGGGGTGAGAAGGGTGCGCGACGATGCCTATTTGAGGACTGGGAGAGAGACGCGAGATTACCGGGAGATCATCACTCGTTTGTGGGCATCCGGAGACTCGCGAAACTTCCCGCCCTACTCATAATTCTCTCTTCATGTAGCCGTAAGCCTATTACGTATCCATAAAACACTAATATAACCGCGCTCGGATCGGATCGCTTTCTCACTGCAATCGAACCGCTCCAGGGTTCATTTCAATCGAGCCGAGACCACCTCACTCAAGCGATCTCGGATCGATTACTTTGACGCGGAACAGAGTGCGATTGCCCTGTTCACATATGCCAATCGAACCGCGCTAACTGGGCAAACGAGATACAGATTCTCAGATGTGAACAGGGCAATCGCGCTCTGTTCAAAATAGCTAAAACAAGATAAGGCGCAAATAATCTCAGACTGGTTTCTTGGACATGACAATGAGTTCACTGTACTTAAATGGCCTCCACAGACACCAGAACTCAATCCAACAGAGCACCTTTGGGATGTGGTGAAACGGGAGATTCGTATCATGGACGTGCAGTCGACAAATCTGCAGCAACTGCATGATGCTATCATGTCAATATGGAACAAAATCTGAGAAATATTTCCTGTACCTTGTTGAATCTGTGCCAGGAAGAATTAAGGCAGTTCTGAAGGCAAAAGTGGGTCCAACCCAGTACTTGTAAGGTGTACCTAATAAAGTGGCCAGTGAGTCTATACTGTACTTGAGCTATACTAATGAAAAAAGGGGAAATTTTTATTATTATTTTCAAAGCAGACTTTAAAAAATAATGACTTTATTTTGTAATAATCTTTTGACTGCAACATTTTATCTATTTTAAGTGGTTCAATTTGTAGTCCTAAAATCTGTTTCTACTTTGCTTAGATTAAGGAGGACCATGCGTTTTTTGCAGATCTGCAGAAAGCTTTCTCTTATAGATTTTTTGGCAAATTAACCAAAGCCTTCATCAGTAGTGTAGTACCAGGAGATCAGGAGAGCTGGAAACGTGAGCAAATCGCTTTGACCTTTGAGGTCACCAGCAGACTTAGAGCCATGGACCTTCAACCCATGAACAGAATCATGGGATACGGAGCGCAGTACCTGCAAGAACATTTCGCTCCATGGATTAAGCAGAAGGGCGGTTGGGTGAGTTATTACACATCAAATTACATTTAACCATAAACATGATATTTTTCAGAAAATAAGTTGAACAGAGTCAAAATTGTGTAGTTCAGAGGATAAAAAGCACCTATGAGTTGCATTGCTGTGATACAGAAATAATGTTATACAAGTCAGTGTTTCTCAAACCTGTTCCTGGAGGCACGTCAACCGTACATATTTTGGATGTCTTATCTGAACCACTCAGTTTTCAAATCTCTTCTAATGTTCTGATGTTTTGACTCGTTTTTGTTTGAATAGGAAGTGCTTGAAAATGTGTAATGTTGGTGTGCCTTTAGGAACAGGGTTGGGAAACACTGACTTACATAACACGGGCTGCGTCCGAAACCGCCTACTACTCAGTAGGTACTGCATTTGAATGTAAACGTACTACTCGACTGTTGGAAAAGTGCGTTCTATACAGTATATATGTGAAAAGTATTAATGGAATTCGGACACACTACATCCGGCATTTTGTCATGGTCACGCGACCTACCTGCGTCATTTGCGTCGCTTCACTCCCATTCATGAATTCGCTCGCGGGGCATCATGGTATAGCGCAGCGTGCATGGGATGCGCACTCCAGAATCTCTGAGGAAGTAGTAAGTCATCCGGGTACTTCTTGCATACTGATTTTCGAATTCTATGAATTCGGACATACTACTCGGCTCGCATACTGATTTTAGCTTACTATATAGTATGGAAGTATGCGGTTTCGGACGCAGCCATTATTTCTGCATCGCAACAATGCATCACAACAACTCATAGGTGCTTTTTGTCCTCTCAACTACACAATTTTGACTCAGTTCAACTTATTTTCTGAAAAAATATATTTATTTATGTTATTTATTTTTAGCATTGAAAATGAAACCACACTGACCTGAACTAAACTGAACTTCAACTCTGAAAACTGGACTGACAGTTTCAATTTACTAGGACTCCTATGTTAAGCTGCTTTGACGCAATCTGCATTGTTATAGAAATAAACATGAATTGAATTGAAGCACTGATAAAAGTAACCAGATGCACTAATCAAAATGTAACTTAGAAAGAAATTAATCTAGCAAGTACAAAACAAGACATTATAATGTTATTTACTATACACAACAATTATTTTAAACAAGAAGCCTAAAACATTTAAATAAAGCAAAAATGAAACTAAAATATATGGAAAATAGACACTTGCCTCTCTCAGTTGACACCAATCCAAGTGTGTGTGTGCTCTGTCCACAGGTGTCGCTTTCATTTCACTAGAAATTAATGCACAATACTACATGAGGTATTTTTAGAATGTGCAATACACTGAATATGTCACCTCTGACTTTCTGTAGGGCCGGGCCTTTGGTGGTGGTGGTGATGATGATGATGATGATGATGAAGAGGTCCACTGACAAGATTTTTTCTGTTATGATTTTTTACAGAGCTTATTTAAATGTGTATATTCACAATATTGAACATATTTGTTTGTATACATTTACTAAAATAAAGTAAAAAAAAGACACTGTGTTTTAAATAAATTGCGCTCTTAACATATTGTAACACACTAAAAGAAACTCCTAAAATATAATGTTTTATTGATTGTTGGCTTTGTGAGCAACAAATCAAGCAAGCACCACAAACATACTCTACAAATACACTATAGCATTGGCATCGGAACAATGCGTATGGACTTTTACATTGAATTATTATGTGTACATAATATCAACTGCCTTCATTTGGTAGATACTGCAGTATGTAGTTAAAATAAAACACAAATCTGGTATGATTAAGCACAACATTAGGCACAAAGAGGCAAAGACTACACTTGATTCTTTTCCTTTGTTGTTCCTTTAGTGTCTGAATACATTATAATAATAGCCGTTTTTAATTGGTTGCGACATTTCACACCTGTGTTTATGTGATGTACATCCTAATAACAAGGAAAGGCTTATGTTTAGCCCAGATAATCACAACAACTGTTATAGAAGGAATGATGAACTGAACTATATGATTCACCTGAACTGAATCATACAGCATTGTTGAGGGACTGTGTTTGTTTAGATACCGAGGTATTTGTTCATTTTTCCCAGGGCGTCACAGACGGTGGTTAAGTCGCTGCGTAGATCTTGAACCACATTTTCAATGCTCCTGGTGTCCTTGAGTAAGTCGATGCTCTGCGTGTACGGGTTGTAGTAGACAGAAAAAGGCCTCTTTATTGATTTAGCAAATTCCCTGTTAAGAGGAAGCGATGTGTTAGATGAACATTATATAGTATTACTACGTTATATTTGAGTGAATTTATGCATTTACCTCATTTTTTCTTTTGCCTCCTCAAAGCTCTCAGAGACGAAATACACATCTTGAAATGTGGTAATGAGGCACTCCTGGTAGCACGTGGTTTTGGGGTCAAACACCTTCACTGTTGCTTTATCAGAAAGCGCATGCTGCATAATCAAAGACGATTATTCATTTAGTGAACCATTAACCTGAGCTGAATCTATATATTTTTAAGAGAGAAGCGATTAAATGACATCTCACAAATCTATAGGCTTGAATTGTGTTATGTAAAAATGCAGAACTTTTCATATTTATGTAAAATTAGTATTAAAATAAATTGGATTTTAACAGTAATATTTATTTGGTTTTGGTGTGTTAATAATAAACAGGTTTTATAAAACTGGAGTGTTTTTTTTTTTTTTTTAGCAATTGATTTATAAATTCATAAGAATTTACAGTATTAAACTTTCAAATAAACTTTCAAATTTAACTAACGTTCAAACTGTTATTTTCCAGATTTTTTTATAAACTTTAAAACAAATAAACTTGTATATATGTATTATAAAAATTATAATATAGCAAATTCTGCTCAATTACATTATAAATAAACAAATATTTAACATTAAAATGTGTGTATGCAGTGCTTTAAGTAGTGTTTTTCACAATCACCCATTAAAGGTGCAGTAGGTGATCAGCCGAAATGCTAAGCGTTAATATACTGGCTTTCAAAACAGTCTCTCCCCTGCCATCTAAAGCCACGCCTCCTGAAATCACGAATGCGCACCATAAAGATGACGATGATGATGATAAAGATGATGGTCATTCACCAGTTAGAAAATTTTATAATCTTTTATAATACTACAATTCCGAACAAAAAAAAAACTATTATATCTAGCACGTTTTCAGTTGTGTAGCAAGCACTTGTCGTGCAATATTTCGTGAAATATGCAATATTTCCTGCATGCAAGGATCGCTGATCTCACTCTCTTACATGCTTTGTCCTAAAGCGACTCTGCTTAGTGCTTGGCCGGCGGGCTGCAGGAATTACACTTATTACCAAGCTAAACTTACATGCTATTTGAGACCGATATTCAAAGTAGCATGGTAAACAGTTTAGGGAGTGTGTCACAGGTTATCATAGTTCAAAAATGAACCAATGAGAATATAAAACCAACTTTACCTCAGTAAAGTAGGCTAGGCAGAATTGTGCTATTTACTGATGTTTTGATGTTAAATTAAATAAAAATCTACATTATCGATGCTGTAAAAGGCACCTTATGAAATTGGAAATAGTCACATCAATCTTTCACTGAAAGATTTCAGAAGCTGAACAACACTTTTGTGCATTCATCCCATTCATAACACAACACAATCTACATTAGCTTTGCGTCAAAGTCCCTTTAAGGCAAGTCATTTCACTCGGCGTCCGTCTTTGAAACACCTCTCAGTCAGTATGCTCAGGTTTTCTGTCTGAATGGGGAAACATCATACTCTCAAAATTGCGTGCCAAGCTTACCACTGAATTTCATATTGGGATTCAACAATAAAATTAAACAACAACTGTCTCTTATGTTTATATTCTAAACATCCAAGTCACACACAATCTGCAGAAACTCACATTTGGTCCGAGCCCCTCTCCCGTAGTATCGTCAATTTATAGTGATCAATGATTGGCTGGGTTGACGGGCTTTATTCACCATATTAAGCCATATAAGATAGGTTATTTTAAAACAGAACTTTACCCGTCTAACAGAAATACATCAGCCATGGTGTCATCCTTCACCTAACACTGATTTAGGATTTTAAAAAGTTTAGATTGAGTTTTTACTGCTGTCACTCTTTTGTGTGCACGTGAATGCAGCACATGTGCATGCCAAACGTTGGATCTGTCTGTGTGAATGGGGTGTCTGATGTACAAATCTACATTAGTTGACAGACAGTTTGGGCTACTTATCAGAATAATCGGCCTGACAAATTTTAATTAGACAAACATTTTTTTTAGTCTTATGCCTCACCCAGACTATAAAAATACATATAAACACATTTAGATCATTTACTTTAATCATTACTATTGGAATGTGAAGAGATTTTCAACCAGCACAACAAAACATTTTCTAAAGACAGTCACCTACTGCACATTTAAGGATAAGTTGTTGATGATGATATACTGTATGGCGTACCTTATGTGTTTAAAAAAAATAATCATCTATATACAGCAGCAGTGGTGTTTGTTTGGTTAATGAAGGCTCTTTTACCCTTAACTCTCCAATAGAAGACAGTAGACCTGCTCCATAGACTCTCAACTGACCATCTTGTTTGCACAGCCCAAACTCTATTGTGAAGAAATAACACTAGGGGAAAAAAGCACAGTTGTTTATTGCATAGTAAGCTAAGCATGTACCGCAAAGGTTTCATTGGAAGTTCCTTCATGCCTTTTTGAGATGCAATTACTCATACTGAAACCACCAAAGACAGTATACTGATTTTCTCTCACTCTGATCTGATTTCAATGCAAATGCCTGTTTCTCACCACCATAGATTTATGCATTTATGCCTATGTGACCTTTTTCATGTCATGAAACTTTGAGTTAGGTTGTAGGTGGCATTTAAAAACTCAATAAGCTGCTGTCACACTTACAGTTGCCAGCTTTTGCACATCTTCGTCTGAAGCGCCTAGAGATGCAAGGCCAATCTCCTGAGAAAACTGAGCAAATTTGGGATCGGCCAGGAGCGGCACGTGACCAAGCAGTTCATGGCAGGTGTCCCTGGTGGACAAGAAATTGAGTTCAGAAGTGGTGAAGGACAATGACAGGAAAACCTGTGTGTGCTAGTACTCACGGCTCTGGTGTATAGAGAGGGTCTGTGCTGTGACGTATATACTGAGTGCAATTAAACACTCGATAAGCCAGTCCAGCCAGGAAGTCTCGTGGTGAGAGATATCCAGCCACAGGCCTTACGGTAAACCCTGACCTCTCTGTAAAGAGTCACAACCCAGACATCCATATTGAAGAGTGCTTATGTTTTTGTTAAAGAATAAATATATAGTTAATCAATCATTAGCAGAAAATAGGATGAAACTCTACTTTTGTAAGTGTCTTCACTGGTGAGCGTAAAAAAAAAAATGGACAAGCTCAAAATTTTTTAGTTTGACTTGGCTTTACACCTGTATAAACACACTTGCGATTGGATTTACGAAAACATCTTCATGCCAGGGGCCGGTTTCAGAAAGGAAACTTAGAGTACAGTAACTCTGAAATGAGGGAAACTCTGCAAACTCGAGAAAGCAAAGTAAGTCAAGTCCATTTCTAATAGGATGTTAAGGTAGAGTCAGTTACCATGGGAACACTGAACCTAATAAGGAGCAGGATTTCTTTAAAAAACCCAGAGTTTCTTTTGGTCCTCTTTCACTTTTTAAAGCTCAAGCCGTTTAAATACTTAATTCATGCATGCTGCAAAAATACTTCTCATACTAAATGATTAATATTTTAAATATTAAACAATTCTTACATCAAGATAGTATTTCTTTATAAAAATGAAATTATTTATTAAAGGGGTGGTCCAGAGTTTATTTTAAAGGCTTAGTTGTGTTTATAAGATGCAAAGCAATGTGTGCTTTGGGTAATGGGTTGTTGGTGTTTGACAAGGTGTGTGCGACATGTCTGAAGAGCGGAGGGATATGGTGGGGAGGGGTGAGAAGGGTGTGCGATGTATTTGAGGACCAGGAGAAGATGCACAATTTCTGGGAGATTATCACTTGCTTGCGGGCATCCGGGAGTCTCTGTGCATTTGCGGGAGACTCCTGAAACATCAGGGAGACTTGGGATGTCTGGAATGACCTCCCGCCCTTCTCTCTGCATATAACCGCATACCTGTTACATATCCATAATACACTGTGCTATAACCGGGCTCGGATCGTTTTGCTTTCTCACTACAGTCGATCCGCTCCAGAGTTCGTTTCAATTAAGCCGAGACCACCTCATTCAAGCAATCTCGGACCGATTGATTTGGCGCGGATCCTAGCGCGATTGCTGGTTTCACATATGCCAAATGAACCACGCCAACTGGGCAAATGAGACAGGTTCCCAAACAAAAGTCTAGGTGTGAAAGCACCCTAAAATAAAAGCTGACAAGTGTCTTTCACATATATTTGCGTTATAAGCGTGTCTAAGTAATATGAAACGTTCACATATCTAATGCAAGCGTGTTATATGAGATGTAGAATGCAGGAAAAGCAGCTGCATAGAG